GCTCACATCTTGCTCCCCCTTCTCTCTTTCTCCAGAGGCATTAACCTAACAGGCCCCAGTAAGACCACTGTCCTAGCTACGCCAACACCAAGAAGAGTCCCTGCTTCCCTGTCCTTCAATAGGGAACAAAGGCTGCCTTGACTGTGCTTCTCCTTCTGTGGTCTCTGGCATAGCCCAGTTTGCACAGTAGGCAAGTGAACAGAACCAGGGGAGGTGGCCAACCAAGGTGTGCTGCTCCATGGCTGGCCAATCTGCTGCTCACTCTAACAGAGGCACTAGAGGTCACCTGGAGAGCTCTCCTCAGAGGACACACACAACCTGCACTCCTCTGGTCATTCTTCCATGAACTGCCTCTGGGCCCTGAACCTCCCCATTCAACAGAGAGACTGAGGCCCACTTGTCCTCCCTGTGCTGCCTTAATACACAGCACCCAATGCCAGAAGGTCCTCCACCACACATGAAACACAGAGGTGATGCCAGCCTGACAGCCTGGGGTGGGACCATCTCAGGTGCTAACAGAGGACAGGGGGGCCAAGGAACCCACCTGCAGTTCTTCTAAAGATCAGTCCTACTCCATCAGAGAAGGCTGTCCTCGTCATCAACCAGGTATGCAGTTTTGGGAGGATGTGCATGGAGTGGTGAGGGAGGAAGAGGACACCTGCCTAGCCAGCTACATCAGCCTAGTGAACCCTAGCAATTGGTGGGGCAGCAAATTTTGCAGCCATATGGCCAACACACCCAGACTCTTCCTGCTTTAGCCTGGAGGACCAGCCTGGCTCAGGAATGGCCATGCTCCCCATCAACTCTATAGGAGAGTCCCCCAAGGGCCTGTGGGCCAGTCCTAAAGGTGGTCCAGCCAGCCCCCTTTCTATCCAGGACTGCTTAGAACCTGTGATGGGCTAAACTATATCTACCCAAAACACACCTGCTGAATTCCTAACCCTTACCACCTCCAAATGCAGCTACATTTAGAGGTAAGGCTTTTAATGAGGTGATTAAGCTTATATGAAATCATAGGGATAGGCCTAACTCAATCTTGAGTTGTGCCTCTGTAAGAAAGTAATATATACATACCCCTACACACAGAGGAAACACCATGTGAGGACACAGTGAGAAGACTGCCATTTGCAAGCCCTGAAGAGAGGCCTTGGAAGAAGCCAACCCTGCCAACATTTCACATTGGCCTTCTAATTTCCAAATCTGTGAGAAAATAAATTTCTGTTGCTTAAGTCCCCTAGTCTCCTGGTAGTTTGTTATAGTAGCCCAGCAAACTAACACAGCACCTAGACAAATGAAGGAATGAAGGAAATTTCTAAATAGCCATGCTCAACAACAACAAAAAATAAAATCACACAAAGACACAGACACAGGAACATGTATGACTGGTTGCATTCTGAATTTGTATCACCCACCTATATCAAAATACAGAAAATACAAATTAATTCAGACATAATTTATGTGAAAACAATTTTAAATGTGAATATGATCCTTATAAAAGGAATCACATAAGAATACCATTATAAATAATATTTTCTCTAATGCTCTAAACCCATTTCTCATTTCCCCTAAGAACAGTTCTTGGGGAAAAGCTGCATTTCTTCTTTGTAAATGGGAAATGGGTTAAGCAGTTCTGGATATAACAAATCCACTACATAAAGTAATCCCCACTGGTAACTTAGTGCAGCAGCTGTCAGCTCTGGTGAGGCTCTTCCAGGCTGTGGCAAGAGGCCTGTGGAAAGGTGACCAGGCAGGCTCCACTGGGTGTAAGAAGGACAGGCATGCCTGCCCTGAACTAACCATGGCAGCTCTGTCACCTTCTGTGACCATTAATCATGATATGTTATCTTGAGTGGATTTAAAAATGCCTTGCAGATCAGTAAAGCACAGTTCTGTGTGTTCTTGTGGATGAGTGACATGAAGGCCAGTCAACTGAGGGAAGAAGATTCACCCCAGATCTGGTTAGCACCAACCAACAGGCTTGTTGCCTGTACAGAACGAAAGGAAAAGAAAAAAAGAAGTGTTTCCATTTTGGAAGAGCTCCAGTCTTTGCCACTGCCTCTGGACATGGTCCCACATAGTACAGATTTTTCTGCCTGACACGACAGGTGGCCACTGTGGTCTCCTGCAATTCTGATCCTATAACCTGCCAAATAAATCCCCTTGTATAAATATAGGTATTCCTATTAATTCTGTCCTTCTACAGAATCCGAACTAATACAGTATACTTTCTCTCACTTTAGTGTTATTCTAGTTATTTTAAACTTGAAAATCAAGACATAAAAGGGCTCTGATGTAGAGAAATCATATACAAGAATCATTGTGATTACTTTCCTCTCTTAACAGAGTATTTCAGAAGGAGTACATGCTCGGAATTCAGAAATACCTAGCTAGGGTAGAAAATCTGAGTAGCCTGAGGAAGAGCTTTCACCAGCATGGAGTTTACTCATCATTTTGTTAAAACCTAACAGTAACAGCCATGTTTCTACTAATAAACAAATATGCTCTGCAGGCTACAGCTGGCCAATCTTTCCTACACTCCTTGCTGGCTGGGAAGGAAAGTCATTCCTGTCAATAGGCAGAAAACTGAACTGCAGCGAGTACACTGACAGCGCATGTAAGAATCATGCCAGTGGTCCTCAGGCAGTGGACAGAGCAGACATGGATCTGAGTCTAGTCTATCCATCATTAAATAGCCTAGCTGTTTATTAAAAACTTGCAAACACTGTCCTCTCTCCATTAAAAAGGAACACAGTAACTACCTGGAAGTTCTCTGCAATTCAACAGTGCTTATGAAATGCAGAGCAGCACTTTGCACATAACAGGTTCTCCACCTGTGTCCCTGCACGTGACCTCCCACTGCAATTAACCAGGTGCTCTTGCGCACAAACTAGTATGAAGGAACACCAAAGAACAGGGACTTTTTTGAAATGCTGGATGCTTTCTGTAGATATTGGATTCCATTAAAAAAATGTTTTGACAGTACAATTGAAAGTCTTGCTTCTGGTTTTAGGAGCTCCCCCATGTGAACTGCACATCTCACTGGTACACTCCAACAGACCTGCAGATAAGGCTGGCTTTCTGAGAACAATCAGGATGAGGAAGAGCATTCCCACAAGAGCTAGTTTTTGTAATCCATTACAAATCTACTTGAGTTTAAAAAAACTTGTTTTTATTCTAAATTGTTTGGTAACGAACTAGCTAGTTTTAGACTAGTTTATACTGACTTTAAAAATAGTTTGTTTAGGCAACATTAATTTGTGAGTCTAAATAAAATAATTAGATAATCTATTCCTAGAACAGAGTCATTACTCAATAAACACTTGTTACACAAACTCAGGAAAAAACTTGCTACTAATTTTACAATCACAGAATTAAAATGTTGAGAAGGAATAGATTATAAACGGAGCCTTTTGATTCTAAGAAAAAATCAGTTCAAAGAAAGAAAACCTTCCTAAGACTACATATAAGAAAGCTGGTAGCAATATGAAGATTAAGAAGTGCCATTTAAAACCAAACAATTTTTGATCATCTGTGAGGTGCTAATATCTTTGGCTCATTTCCATCAACAAAGAATTAATCCCTTATTACAATGGAAATAATCTCAGTATTCTACTTAGTTTTGCATTTAATCAAGAGCATGTATTATTCAGATCAGTAAAGAAATTAGAGGACAGATTAAGGAGGTCCGAATTATGCAAACATGGAAAGCCATGGAGCAACATGGATATGATTTTTCTAGTGTTCAGCACAAAATTAAATTCTACATATGTACCTATACTACAGAAAGGTTAAATTAATTTTTAAAATAAAAAACAGAATTTTTAAATTTTAAAATAAACATTTTTTAAATAAACATTTTTTGAGTGAAAAAATATACAATAGCAAGTACTTTTTCATTTTTATTTAACACAGTAAAGCTTCAGGACAAGTCTATAAGGTAAAAAATAGCCCTGCAATCCCCATTTTAAAAATGGGGAAACTGAAAGATAAGAGGGTTAAATAATTTGTTCAAGGTAACATAGGACTAAAGCCCAGGTATTCTGGAACCAGAGTACACAATTAACTGCCATGTTATACACTATTTTGTACTATATTAACTGTTTTAAATAAAATATACCAGTATTATACACAAAGCTAAGAATTAGAGTTTTTAAAATATACAAAACTAAAGCAATTAATAAATTTAAAAATACAAACATAAAGATATAATAATCATCAATATTTAAGTATATAGTACAAGCACTTTGTCACAAATGCAACATTTTAAAATATTTTTATAAGAAAACTACAAAAAAAGAGGCTATAGATTAAAAACATGATTTTATGGCATTTTTCAGAGGATCGTCTATGGATAGTTTTAAAAGATAAAAGAAAACCTACTACTCTATTAAAATTAGTGCTAAGTTAATTTAAAAGATGCCACTGTCAGGTCTCAAACTGTTCAGATATACATGGAAAAAATAAATGAGGTGGCTTTGACTCACTAACATTCCAGTAATAGTCACAAAGCATTGTTACAGAAAATATTATCAAAGCAATTTGATTTTAAGGAGAAAATACAGTAAATCATGATTTAAGCCAATATATTTAAAAGTAAGGCAGGGTTAGAGGTCTGATCATCTTAAAAAGGTCTTCAGTCTGAGACTACTCATACTTTGGCTATCCCACCATTTAAAAGTGAAGAAAGAAGAGAAACAAAAACCACAATAACAGCTAGACAAGAAAATCCAAGTCTATGGGCCAGTGATACATCTTAGTAGCACAGTACCTTCCTGTCGAGTGCAAGGTTCTGAGTTTGATTCCTGATACCAAAACAAAACAAAACAAAAAGAAAAAGAAAATCCCAGTCTAATACCATTATCATCTACATTTTTCTATCATTGCAGACAAATGTCTGATGACAATGTCCATAGACAGTACATTTTCTAAATAAAAATATCAGTAAAATATAGAAAAAACTATTATTTAAACATTTCTACATACAGTTTTTTGTTGCTTACCTGAAATCCATGCTTGCCTCTCCACCATGTACTTAACACCTTTGGGGGCATGTCAATAACAGAAACAATATCTCCCACCTAGAAGAATCAAAACCAACTGTTATATCTACAATTTAAATCTGAACTGTACAAGAAGGTAAAATGCTATTTTATGTTCTAGATAATAACTGCTGAAAATCATACTATCTCTTCTTAAAATAACTTAATAATTTCACCTTTTGTTAAAGTTCTACAAAAAGTTAAGCAGCACCTGACTGGGATCCAACTAACACTCATGCAGTAACATCACAAAGGCAGACCTTAGTATAAGGTTTTTTAATGCTTGATGTCAAACCATTATCACTTCTGTTAAAATACAGTTCAATATAAGTATGGCACAAAGGAGAAATGTATTCAGTAAAACTGTTCTTCAGATTCGGCGTTTTGTTCTTGCCCCAGGCTAGTGATGTCATATGATAGTTCTTTTGTGATGCTGGGCAGCAGCAGTGGTCCACAGCTTCTAGTCCTCTGTGCAGTCATGAGAGCAAACAACTGATGCTCTGAAATGCACTGTGCTGTGAAGCTGGGACGTTCAGTAGGTCTATTGAGACTATCCCCACTGTAAATTGAGGAGATTCTATACTGTGGGCCCTGCAAGTGATCAGATTTACTTATTTGGGACAATTTTAAATAGCACAGTGAGCATTTGACGTCTTATTTAACCATAGAGGAAAAGTCTGAAGATGGGTTATTTTTGATGTAAAATGTTAATGTTACCTCTTTCAACAGATGGCACAGTATAACACTACTACAGAGCTAACTTTCCTCACTGTCAAAGGTGAAACAGCAAGTTTATATAAATGTGAACAAAATTATACACATATTAGTAAGTTTTAAGCCAGACGTGGCGGCACATGCCTATAATCCCAACACTCGGTAGGCTGAGGCAGGAGGATTGTTGCAAGTTCAAGGCCAGCCTGGGCTACAAAGTAAGCTCAAGGCCCACCTGGGCTACTAAGTGAGCTCAAGGCCAGCGTGACCTGCATAGCAAGACCCTGTCTCAAAAAGACAAAAAAGAGAGTAAGTTTTAAATAATACATTTAATAGGTGTTATATTTTTCAATCATGCTGATATCCATGATAAAACAGAGGTTAAACACTTGACGGCACTGTTACTAATGTGCAGTACATTTTTAGTACTCTGTAAAGTCACACTGCTTTCTCAAGTAATGAATGAGCCATCTTCACAAAGTCATGTTTAGTAATAGATAAGCATCTTTTGAGACCTATATTTCTTTCTGCACAGAACCTAAAAGTCTGGTTTAAAAACAGTTCAGATTCTGTAAAGTCTATACTGTTCTTTCTTTCCTTCTGTGTGTGTGTATGTGTGTGTTTTACTGGGGCCTGAAGCTAGGACCTTTACACTGAGCTACAACCCTAGCTGTTCTTAAAATTTATTTTGAGACAGGTCTCACTAAATCACTATGTTGCCCAGCCTGGCCCCACACCTGTGATCTTCCTGCCTCAGTCTCTCAGAGTGCCAAGATTACAGGCATACACCACCACACCAGCTTACACTGTTTGTTCTTAAAGCACTCAAATTAGCATTTATTTTGGCTCTCATTGGCAAATATGTTTTTGAAGGAAGAAATTTAATTCCCTTCTTGTGGCATGTGATAACAAGAAATATTTATTTCACCTTTCTTTTGTTCTTTAACTCAATTTTTCAACAAGCACTTTAAAAAACACCAACATCACTGTTTTTAGGCACTAAAAACACTAAGCTAGGCTCTCTTTCAAGAGGACCTCTAAGACAAACATGAAAACTATAATTAAATTTAAGAAGTAACATGTCAGAGATAAGCCATGGGGACAGTTCTGAATGGCATCCGGTCTAGCTGTTTGGAATTTGTTACTAGCATGGAATGCAATAAAAGAGACCAAGGATGAGTTCTTGGAATAAATGGAATACACTGAAGGCAAGTGCTGATGGATCAGTACAATCATTCAAACAAAAAATACAAAACATTTCAACTAAAACATAAAGGACTGGAGAAAAACCTGGTGCTTTTATTTATTTATTTATTTATTTATTTCAAATTAAGGAGTTAGAACAGTTCAAGATGAAGCTGGAAAGGCAGCAGGGGTCACAGAACAAATATCCGCCTTTAGTCATTTACCTCCAAGGTCAATTCATCTGGGGCCCGAGCAGTGTACCTCTTGATAACATGGGCAGCACCAACAGCAGGAGTGTTGATTGATGATTCTTCATGAACTAGAAGGTGATTTCCCCTGTTATCAATCTGTAATGAAGAACATGTACTGTGAGGTGGTTAAAAACATGGACATGTACATGTTTCTTTAGCTGCCTACAAAATACAATTCAATTTAAGGAGAGAGCAATCTAAAAGTCTGAAAGAAAAATGTAACTGCCTTTTACTGGGTAGTTAATATGTGGCAGTCATTATGCTGTGCAAATAATATTTGAGTTAATATAATCTACTTACTATAAAAGACACTAATCATCTTTATCATCACTGAAAGATAAAGATACTAAAGTTGAAAGAGATTTTGTAAAAGAGATTTTGTAATTTTTGGGAGATTAAATTATTTTTCTAAGATCACACAGCCAATAATGAAAATGTCAAGATTCCAATGCAAGCTGGCCTGGCTCACAGTTCTATGTCCTGCTTACCTCCCTTCTTGCATTCCCTATTTCCACTGGGAAAAAAGAATAACCTAACTTCTGCATATGCAAATTAAGAATATATACCTCACATATTTTCTGGACAATGTTTTGTTCTATACATTCTTAAATCATACCCTTTAAAAAATTGTCATTTGTTCATCTATAACTGAAAAATATTTTTAATTATTAAGTCAACGGGAATAATATATAACTTGCTCAAAGTATACATTAATACAATGAACACCACGACAGCAGGTATTATTAAGATTCATAAAATATGTTAAAATTGGTTTCTCAAATTATCAAGAAAGACATAAGATAAAATATATTTCATATATTACACATCTATTCTCCCAAAAGAGAATAAACTTGTTTTTTGATTCCTGAAACTCAACAGCTATCAAATTAACATTGAATTTCTTAAGAGAATAATTTTAAGGTAAGTCTGCATGAAAGGTGAATTAATACCTCCATCCAGGTCAAGGCAGGCCCACAGTTGATCTTGTTGCCAGCAATGGCTGAAAGGCGGGACAGGTAACCCATGAGCATCTTAGTGATGGACTGTAGAGAAGGCACAGGACACTGTGACTCACAGAAGATATCAACTCTCTGGCAAAGATACTCTGATGTAAATGGTTGTTTCTGGTGGAGGGGAGCTACAGATCTTTAGGCATTTAACAATTACAGAGGACTTTCTACAGAAGATGACTACTAAAATTGTGGACACTGACATAGTGATTTAACCCATCTTGTGGGGGCATTAACTTTGAACTCCTATTTTATAACTTCTAACTGTGTTGTTTTCTCTTTCTGTTTTTGTACTGAAAATGCAAAAAGATGTTTGTCACAGATCCACATCTGGTTTTTCCACCTAGCTCTCCACTGTGGTCCTGAAGCCTTTTCCTCTCAGTCCCTCTGTAATCCCCTGTGATGTGGCTGGGCAACAGCAGCCATGTTCCTAAGACCCCACACCACGCACAGCTCACTGCTTCTGAAATGTGGCTATCTGAGAGGGAAAGTAAGCAAAATGGGCACAAATGGGCATTAAATCAGAGACATGAAGGTTTTCTGTAGCAAGAGGGAATGGTGGCTGGAAGCCTTCCTGTGCTTCTGTGGCAGGTCAGCTCCTGCATGATCCTTGATGACTCTACTCAGCCACCTACTTAACCTCTCTGGAACTGACAGAGATTTCAAATTACTCCACCTCCAACATGCAGAAGATACCCCACACTATTGTCTACTTCAGCGTGGCTGAGCCAAAGTCTAGTGCCTAATTCTTACTGTTTTAAGAAAAATCTACATTTTGTTCTCTGCATGGATTTAAGAATTTCCTGTGTTTTAACATACTGCAATTTCATAAGATGGTACAGTATCACCTACTGGGCCCTCTGAATTTGAAAACATTGATTTCTATAGCTCTAGTGAGCTCTTTAATTATGTCCTACCATCTACTCCCTACTCCTACTATCCCGCTGAACAGGAACTACTCTGAACCTAATCTCTATGGTTCCCACCTATTCTCTCACAAGTTCTTAGCAATTTGTCTTTTCTAGGAGCCATATTCTAGGAACCTGACAAATGACTTGATCTGCAGTTTCACTCTCTCTTTAGTTGTGTCCATTTTGTATGTAGACCAGTTATTCTGATGTGCTGTTAAAATTAATTTAAATGACCTCTGCTTTTTTTTATTTTCCAAACCTCTGCTGTCACTTCATAGATGAGATAGTGTCAAATTCCCTCAAAGGAGAGTAACCAGACTTTCCAGGGCTTTCTTCTGTACATTTTTCTCAGTTATTTTGTGTATTCAGTGTTTGTAAGATTTTTGTGTTTTGTCATCACCTTGCATATGCATTTTTAGCCATATTTTCTCTTCCCCCAAAATCTTATTCTATCTAGTTCAAAGATCCTTCACAATTTTTGATTCTCTGACATCACTTTTTGTTCATGATACATTTTGCCTTTCATATTTTTTATACTTTCTTTAAAAAATGGTCTGTTAATATATATTGTCTATTTATTACTACTATAAAGGGTTTTCCTCCCTATAAAATTATATAGGAAAATTATATAGGAAAAAATTATATAGGAAACTTACTTTTTAGTTCTAAACATCCTGTTAATGTCTCTGTTAAGAAATAGGCAGATAATTCAAAAAATGATCCTAGGTGTTCAACATAAGCTTTTATTTAGCATACAGAAAAAAATTTCTGCTGATTTATATGTAGTGACTATAGGTGCAAAGTACCTAATGCATACCTCTGGACTGTCCTTCAGGCTGTCAGAGCGGGGCAGCTCGGAGAGTTGGGAGAAACGTCGGTCATAAATACAGAGATGAAGATGTTTATCAAGTACCCGAAAATCTTCATAACTTCTTTTAACAATCCAACTTTTGCCCTATAGGTAGGGTAAAAAAATCCTGTAATTCATCTTCACTTAGAAATACTTAGGAATAAGGTATTTTTGTTGTTGTTGTTACCAGGAACCGAACTCAGGACCTCGCACTTGCCAGGCAGACGCTGTGCCACTGAACTATATCCCAGGCTCTCTAGAATGGTATTTTACTCATGACATTTCATGCTTCTTAATGAGGAGTTTTTATTCACTTCACTGTAAATAATTAAATTTCAAAATGCTCTGATAAGTTATATTAAATTGAAAGGTCAATAACGGAAAATAATACTAAATTCTCCATTAATCCTCTTTAAGTAATTAAAACCCACTTCCTCTCTTTGAAAACAATTACCACTGGATGATAATATAGAATATAACTTTAAACCTGTAAACACCAGAAAAATCACTTGGCAGGAAGCTACTTCCAAAAATTAAAGAAAAATAAAATGTTTATTGACTTAGTTATCACCAATATTTTCTATGACTGAGACTAGAAGTACATTCAAAATCTAAACTACCAAGCTATATATTTCTGAAAATTCATTACTATCCCAATATAAAAGTAGTTCAAGCAACTCAATAATAACCTGATTTTTTCATTTTATTGAAAACAGGTAAAACAAAATTTCATAACAAAATAATAGGAGACTAACAACAGGTAACATATTGAGTACTGTTATCTTCAAAGTAGTTACTCAGAGTACAAGATATGGGCATAAAAAATTCTCCAATCAATATTAGTATGAATCTTCCTTTTCAATGAACTAAAAGACACTAACAGTATAGCTACCATACATTTTTGTCCCTTTTCCTTTCCTTCCTTTCCCCTTTCCTCCCTCCTAGTTCCTTTTAAACAATTACTTCCCATTTCGTATCTATTGTACATTCTAGACCTTATTTACTCTTTCAGCTTCTCACACTAGGAGACAATACGATGTTTACACGTGTGAACCTGATTTATTTCATTTATGAGTATGGTCTCAAGTTGCATCCATTTACCTATAAAAGTCTCAAGTTTATCCTTCTTTATACCTCAGTAGTATTCCATTATATAAAAATACCAGATTCTTTTTTATACATTCTTCAGTTGATGGGCATTTGGCTTGTTTCCAAGATTTAGCTTTTACAAATTGTACTGATATAAACATGGGTACACATATATTACTGTAGTATGATATTTTTAATTCTTCTGGGAAGATACCCAGAAGGGAAATACCTGGGTCAGACGGGACCTCTGTAATCCTAGTTTTGTGAGGAATCTCCACACTGATTTCTGCACTCCTACCAACATTAGAGAAAGATTCCTTTTTCCCCACAGCCCCTCCAGCATTTGTTACTGGTTGATTTCCTGATGACAGTCATTCTTCCTGGAGTGAGATGGAATCTCAATGTTTTAATTCGCATCTCTCAAATGACCAATGATAATGAACATTTTTTCATATATTTATTTGCCATTTGTATTTCTTTATCTGAGAAGTATATATTCATCTCAGATGCCCATTTTTGGATTGGGCCTTTGAATTTGGGTGGTCTGAGTTTTTTCAATTCTTTATATGTTCTAGATATAAGTCCTTTGTTTGAGGTACAATTGCCTAAACTTTTTCCTGTTGTGTGGGTTATCTTTTCACTCTGTTGCTGATTTATTTTGTTGGGCAAAAGCTTTTTATTAATAAGATGATATCCCAGTTGTTGATTCTTCGAAGAATTTCCCGTGTACTTTGCATTTTGTTCATGAACTCTCTGTCTACACCTATATCTTCAAGATTTCTACCTATTTCCTCCCCCAGTCGATTTAGTGTTTCTGTTTTAATATTTAGACCTTTGATCATTTTCACTTTAGTTTTGTGCATAGTGACAGACATGGGTCTAGTTTTGGTCTTCAGCATGTAGACAGCCAGTTTTTTCCCACACCAATTATTAAAGAGGTTATCTTTCTTACAGTGAATACGTTTGGCCCTTTTGTCAAAGATAAGGTGGCTAAGTGTGTTTGTAGTTGGGTCCACATCTTCTAATCTGTTCCACTGATCCTTAGCTCTGTTTTGTTTTGTTTTGGTTTTTTTTTTGCCAGTATCATGCTGATTAATAACCTGATTTAAAATGGTCAGTTTCTTGAAAGATACACAAATGGACAAAGGATATATGAAGAAATGATCAACATCACTAGTTAGCACGGAAATGTAAATCAAAGAACAATAAGATACCACCTCACTGAAGTTAGAATGGCTATTATAAAACAGACAAAATATAACAAGGTCTGGAAAAGATACAAATAATCTTTGAATTATTTGGTAGAAACATAAATTACTACAGCCATTTTGGAAAACTATGGAAGTTCCTCAAAAATCCAAAAAGAGAATTAACATATGACCCAGCAATCCATCACAATACTGCATAAATATATTAAGTCCTTGGTATCAATATATTAAAGAAATATCTGCACTCCCATGTTCACTGCAGTACTACTCATAACAGCCAAATTATGGGAACAACCTAACTGTCCATTAGTGGATAAATGAATAAAAAAAATTTAGTACATGGATGGACTGTTATTCAACTTTTAAAAAAACAGAAATTCTGTCATTCGCATCAAGGATGAACCTGGAAAACATTTTGCTAGGAGAAATGAGTCAAGCATAAAGGACAAAAAAAACCCATATATGTACACTTGAAACAATCAAACTCATAGAAAAAGGGACGAGAATGATGGCTACCAGGAGCTGGGCAGAAGGGATGTCTGAGAGCATGGGGAGAGGTTGGTTAAGGTACAAAGTTGTAGTTAGATAATAAGTGATAAGTATTTAAGGTAAAAAATAATAAACTCAGAACGGAGGTAAGAAAAAATGGTTGGTCATGTTTTCTCGGGACAGTCTTTCTATATAGATATTTAATATAAAGTAAGTATTAAAATATGTCATTTTGTGCTTAGTATTTGTCCAGTTCAACTTTTGGTTCTTTTTAGTTTGCTCTTACCAAATACCACACTGTGTTCATGTGGAGAGCCCTACAGATTTAACATTGTTGCCTCGGTTACATTTCAGAAATGACCCTGTTGGTCATCATAGGATTTCTGGTTTCTGGTCTGGGATATAAGGAGCTTAGAAATCACCATTCTATCCTAACAAGTACAAAGCTAAACAAATTGTAAATCAATAAATCTTAGATGCATCACAGAACTGTGATCACAGGGCAAACTGCTGTCCCCCAACTGCTATCCCCCAGGCAGATAGGTAAATACAGAGAATCACAACTTAAGTAGAACAGAAATTCACAAGCTCAAATTTCTACAGGCACTAGTGTCAAAATATAAACTGTAACTGATAAATTTCCAGAGGCTCAGAGATGACAAATCAGAGTAAAAAATCCAGGGAACCCAACCTTAGGAAGAACCACACACCTTTATGAGTTTTACCTTTAAGAATTCTCAACAAGCATGTCAGAGAAACTCCTTCCCCCCTACACATCCAGCTTCCAGCACTGAAGGGGAAAAGGAATCTTTAAAGTTATCTGCTCAGCAAGGCCTGCCCTCAGGAGAAACTGTTTCCACATGGTAACAGTGGAGCTTTATCTGAGCCTAAACTGCTTGGGGAAAATGAAAACCTCAACTCTCTCTCTTTCAAGCCTTCCACCTAGAGATACGCAAATAGTGAACTAAAGCCTACTCTAGTTTTCCTGCCCCACTGCTGGAAGGTGATCTGACCAGGACACATGAACTCCTGAGCTCTCCCTGTCCCTACATCTTACTGAAGGTCTAGTTACTGCAGCTCCTGCCACCCAAGGCAAGAGTCAAATTGAGCAGTAAGGTTTTAATTGTCAGATCACAAATTTAAAAGAACTACGATTAATATGCTAAGTACTTTAATGGAAAAAGTAGACAATATACAAAACCAGATGGATAATAAAAAAAAGGGAATGGAACATTCTAACAGAATCAAATTGAAATGCTAGACATCAAGAACACTGAAACAGAAATGAAGAATACCTTTGACAGACTTGTGAGTACAGTAGGCTTAGTGGAGGAAAGAGTCTCTGAGTTTGAGAATATTACAATAGACACTTCCAAAACTGAAAAAGCAAAATGATGAGAAAAAAATAAAGACTAGAAAAAAGAATGAAATCCTGAGATAGTGAAGAAACTACAAAAAGTGTAACATTAACACATCATATGGAAAAAATCAGACAGAGAAGAAACAGAAAAAGGAGGAGAAGCAATATTCGAAGCAATAATGACTAAGAATTTCTTCCAACTAGTGCCAGACATCAAACCACAGATGCTGGAAACTCACAGAACACAAAGCAGAGTAAATACCAACAACATTAGTATATGTTCTGCCAAAGTGAGCACGAATACCAAGAACATTAAAAGAAAAAGGTACACCTAGGCCAATCATAATCATACTAGAAAATTCAAGGTAAAGAAAAAAATTTTGAAAGAAGCTAAAGGAGAAAGACAACTTACCTACAAAGGAAAAAAACATAGAGGAATAACATCCAACTTGGAAATCATAAAAGAATAGGGTGGCATAAATTACTTGAAAGTGTTGAAAGGAAAAAACCAACCTAGAATTCTGTAACCTGTAAAAATCACTCTTTTAAAGTGAAGATGAAACAAATTTATTAAACAAAACAAGGAAATTTGAGGCCAGCAGATCTGCCTTGCAAGAAATTCTAAGAAAAGATCCTTGGAAAGAAAGAAAACTATATAGATAAGAATGTCTTATTATATAATGAAAGATACTTTGAAAGGAACAAATGACAGCAAAATAAAACTTCTATTTTATTTATTCTCTAACATAATAATTTGTTCATAATAATAACAATGTATTCAATTATTTATGTTTATGTATATGTGTATATACAATGTACACGTATATATGTGTAGGCATACTGATGCTTTGTATAAGTGAAATGAAGAAAACCTATGATTCAAAAGATGGGACAGAGGAAGTAGAATTTTTCAATTATGAAGTCTTGAAGAACCTGTGAAGTAGTAGAAAGTTATTTGA